CACCCTGAACACACCCAGTCTCAACTAAAATAAAATATTTATCATTACTTTGGAAAGTCAAGCCTGTGTGTTAGCTTCCGATAGAATCAAATAGGATTACTTATTAAATCCATATTGTGTAATCATTCTTGTCTTCAAAAAAAATCACAAGAATAAATCACAAGATTTCTTAGTAAAGTGCAAAGCACAAAGTAGGCATCATATACTTCTGAAGTGGCAAATAGTAAGAACCACTATTATATAACTTTACTTATTTAACTTTCTATTAAAAAAATCAGACTAAAGCTGCAATAAGTCAACTACATATTTTAAGATTACTTTGTCTATTATTTAAGCTTAAGTCTGATAGAGTTATAAGAGACCTCTGCATGCAGGAGCATTATATATTTCTCCCTAAATGTACTCGTAAATGAATTTTAGTAACTCAACTAATGTTTTAGTAACTAAATTAATTTTGCAAAGCTGGAAGCCATCATACAGTCACATCAAATAGTACTGAATTTTTATACCTGATAATTATTGCTAAAATGCTGAACAGTCTGCTTTAAGTAGAATTTTTTGTTGAAAAAATAATTACTGTATAAACTAAAATGTAGAGTAGGTAACACGTTCCATTTTTAAATGGATAGTTGGTATTTTGTTAGTCTGTTAACTTGTTTGCACTTAATGCAGTCTTGTTTTTTATTGCAAAAAAGGGTTAGAGTGAGAGCCAACTATTAGTGAATAGATACTTGAAGTCATGTATCACAGTTCAGAATCTGATTCAGTTAGCTTCTAACTGTGTGACCTTGGACAATTCTCCAGGCCTCTGTGAGCCTGGGAATTTTGTTTTGTTGTGTATGCGTGCTGCCTATAAAATAAGAATAGTAATGGTGCCCTAACCAGTGTAGCTCGGTTGGTTGGACATCGTCCTGCAAAGTGAGGAGTTACCGATTTGATTCCTGGTCAGGGCACATGCCTGGGTTGTGGGTTAAGTCCCTGTCAGTTTAGAGCACGTATGAGAGGCAACCACTCGAAGTTTCTCTCTCAACATCAATGTTTTTCTCACTCTCTTTCTCCCTGCCTTCCCTTGTATCTAAAAATAAATAAAAGTAAAATCTTTTTTAAAAAAGAATAATAATGGTGTCTATTTTATAAAGGTGTTGTAAGGTTTAGATAGTTTATGTAAAATACTTATAATAAATAGTGTCTGGTACATAACAATCAGTGAGTGTTAATTGTTCCTGTTATAGTGATATTATCATTGTTGTTGGGATTGATCTAGAACAAGGCTCCGTGAGTCAGTGATTTTCTTACCACAACCATAAAATCCCTAGTAACTTTTCAGAAACATACATGTGACTGAGTAAACAATTTTAGCAAGCTTACTTTTGCTTATCTTTGTGTTGGTTTTGGAAAGGTCAGGGACCTAACATTAGAGACCATCTGTGTGGAAGGAATATAGCTTTTGCTAATAACTGCTGGCATCCCCTTTGATTTTGCAGAATATGACCAGGATACCCACAATTTGCCATGTTCAGCTAAAATAGGACTTGCAGTCAGCAAAAGATTGTTTCTTATAAGCGTTCTAAGATCCCTCCATAGGATGTGGAAGACCGCAGGGGTGACTTCATGGCATGGCGATAATAGACAGTATGACCTGTTGGTTAATGAATTCTGACTCATAAAAGAAACGTTATTGCGTTTCAGCACAAATTCTGCAGGATCGCTTTCTTTAAAGATGTTTGTCAGAACTGGGATCAAAACATATAAAAGTGTGTGACTCAAAAAGATACACCACCACTATTAGAATAACACTGGGAGCTTGAAAAGAACAGACTGCTCCTGACCGCAAGGGTGCACCTAACAATGCATTTTGATAAATGCAAGAAGTGAGACTCAAAAGGCACATACCGTGTGATGCCATCTCCGCAGCGTTCTGGCACAGGGCCGGCCAGCAGGGCGGGCACCAGGAGCCGGTCCTCGGAGAGCGGTGGCACTGACCCCAGGGAGCCCTACGACGAGTCGATGGCAGTGGACTGTGCCCCGACTCTGGCGGTGCGGACGTGACTGTGAGCGTTGGACAAAGCTCAAACTTTACGCCAAAAGGGTTAATTTTACTATTGTTTATACATTTTATCTCAATAAATCTGGCATTAAAAAACAAAAAAAACCCCTCCTAGTATTGATACAGGTCAGTATTTCCTGTATGTAGAATAACATATTACTTCCCCTTCCCCTGAAATGTTGATACGTTTCTTATGTATTTACCATGTATTTGTGCTCACTTATTGCCAGTTTCAGTCACATTTTTAGTTCATTAACTATTTTACTTACTCTGTAAGCAGTAATTGTTTAAAAATTACTTGAAATTTTCTTTTTAATTTCATGGAATATATATCCTGTGTCTGTTTTATAGTATTTGTTTTCTGTATTAATCAGGATGCTACAAATAACATCAGTAACACTCAACCTGGCTTAAACAATAGGACTTTTACTGGCTTCATCTCTGTGGATATGGAACAGCCGCTCATAGCACTGAAGCCTACATAGGTACCCTTATTTACATGGAGCAGCAGAGAGCTCTTTTTCGGTGGTTCTTCCTTAAAAAATAGGGGGCCTCCTTTTCCAAAGCCACCAGTGCATATTTCCTCATGTCACCTTGGCTCCTGAACCAACCTCTCTGTTCCTGTGACTGTGACACCATTCATGGTCCCCTTTTTGATCCGGACGTAAGGTTAGTTTCCCTAAAGGAAGGCTACATAGTAGTGGGATGCACACACTAACCAAATCTGCATACCATTAAGAAATGGGGGGAGCCGTGGCTGGGTGGCTCAGCTGCTTGCAGTGTCTTCCGGGACACCAAAAGCGCAGGTTTGATCCCTGGTCAGGACACATGTCTAGTTTGCAGTTTCAATCCCTAATCAGGGCGCATAAGGGAGGCAGCATATTGATGTTTCTCTCTTTCTTCCACTCTCTCCCTTCCTTTTTCTCTAAAATCAGTAAACTTATCCTTAGGTGAGGATTTAAAAAAAAGTTTTATATAGAAATAGGGGGTGGGGGGCGAGGGAAGGATGCCAGGCAGGTAACGGTACTACTGCTTTACCCTGGATTTATTAAGTTAAACTAAAACCTTGACTAACTGGGGAATTTGCTGACTACATAGGTGTTATGTCAGTATTTCTGAGACCACAAATTACTTAAAAAGTATTATGTTACTTTACCTAAAGATTTCACATAACAATCCTCAACTCTGCTGGAAGAAGCAACCTGGTTATTTTCCACATTAGAATAGATGCTTCATGTAAAGCATAAGGTGGATGTCATATATGTCAAGTACAGTGAAGCATTCTAGAGCTTAATAGCATTTTTTTATAGTTTAAAATGTAGCATTTACACAAATTAGACCCTGGTTTAAAATATATTTTGGCACTAGAGTTTTTACTAAACCCTTGTTATACTTCATACTCTCCTAGAGTGAGAAAGGTTATTTCAGCAAAGTAACTAGGTAGAAATGTCTAAACAAAAAGATGCCTAGGTATAAAATATAAAATGCATCTTAATAGGACCAAACCCAAGGGCTTTGGATCATTAAAGAAGGCTCCACAGGCAAGGGATGCCATCGAAAGAAAAGTAAGTCCTAAATTCCCAGAGAGATGGAGACATGTTTGGATAAAGGTGGACAGAACAGTGTGTTTGGAAGAAAATGTGCCTGTCAAGAAGATACAGTAAGAAAGAAGTTTGAGGAAGTGACAAGGTTTGAACAACTCTGAATGGTATGCAGAATCTATATTTTATCCTGTCTTTGAGAGGAATACTATTGAAGGCTTCTCTTTCTATGCAAAGTAGGCTTATCTGGGCAAAGCAAAGTTTTAGAAAGATTCCTCACACAGCAGTATACACGGTGAGTTAGAGCCAAAAAATAGTGAAATCAGAACATTTGGCAACTATTCATTGGCTTGGGCTTGCGATACGGTGTGAGCAAAACAGGGTAGCAGTGATGAGAACCTAAAGGATGGATGCTGAAGACATAATACTATTATGAGAGGAGTTGGTAGCTCAGTAGATTTTGTGCTAGGAAACTAAGTTTACAGTAGTTCAAGATGCCAAAGACAGGTAACTGGAAAGGGACAGAGCCATTGCCAGGATGGTAAAGTTTGGGGTGCTGGTAGGATAGATGTTTTCCAGAAAAAAAAATGAGTTTAGTTTTACATTGACACCATGTCAAAGTGGAAATAAATGTCCAACAATAGGTAGGTGAAACTGTTAAAATATTTTATTGCACTTCAGTGTTTTACTGAAGCGTAGTAGACACAGGAGGCAGAACAGTTAACTGGGAGAAACTGTTCCTATCCTCAATGGAACTAGGAAGGTTCTACAAATATATTTAAGGGTTAAGTAAATATATACTGAAGACGTAATGAAGTGTGGATTTAATTTTAAAATATGGGTAGAAGGAGTGGATGGGGCATAGATGAAACAAGATTAACAATGAGTTGATAATTGTTGAATCTCAGCGGTGGACACATGGAGGTTCATTTTACTTTTTTTCCTACTTTTATATATGATAGAAATTTTCCACAACAATTTTTTTTTCCAGCAAAGGCAAAACGTTCTGTGCATAGAGCTGATAATTAGAAAAGATGTCTGAGAAAGTGATGAAACGCTGTCCAAAGAGTAGCCCAAGAGAGGTAGGGGAAAAAGAGAAAAGTATAGTGTCTGAGAACTGGAAAAGATAAAAGATATTTCAAGGAAAGGATGGATGATAGTGAAAACTGACTGCTACAGAGGTCAAAGAGAAGTTACCGTTTAAAGAAGCTGTTACAGATTATGTCCAGCAAATCGCCTATTGCTAATTTTGTTTCTTTCTGGCTGGATGTTCCTTGATGGCTAAAAGGAATTGGGTACCCGAGGAGCTTGAGAAAACTGTTTTAATGAAACCATTTGATGAGATGTTTATTACTTGAGAAATATTGTCCGAGCTTTATTTCCTAATATGTGAATATCTATTTTATTTGTAGGAGACAAATGAGCAAAAACTTCACAACATAGCCAATGAACTTTTGCTTACGGAAAGAGCTTACGTCAACCGACTTGACCTCTTAGATCAGGTAATATTTTCCTTTTCAGAATTATTTTAATTTTTAGCACTATACGTTATTTTAACTTCATAATTAAAGTCTTTAGAAACTATAAAGAAGGGTCTGACCATTTGGGGCCAGTGAAAGGAAATTTGTAACATTTTCAACTTTGTCAGTGAATTCACTAGGTATAAAGAGTATATACTTAATACAGAACAGACCGAAGGACTCTCTGTACAAGTCACAGTGCAATTGTCTGTTGTCTTTCAACTCTAAACCGTTTATTGTGGTTCTGTATGCTATGCTACTATTATAATCCAAATAAGAGATTGGTGATTCTGATGTGATACTAACGTAAATACAAAATAGATTCTTTTTGGCTCATTTGCTATTCAGCCCTATGTACACCATGTGAGTTGCGGCAGGGCCAGACGGGATTTTGAGAGTTCACTTGTTCAGTCTTGTAGGCAATGTTTTTTACAGTGCCTGGTGTAAGGTTGCACAGTCAATATTTGCTGATTATGTGAGTCAACTTTATCACATTTTGTACTTTTATTATGGTACGGCCTTGAATATCATTTCAAATGGACATTAGCAAAGAAAGGCTTTTTCCCAGTATTTTAAAAAAAGTTTTAAATTTTTACAAATGAAATGTATTGGGATGACATTGGTTAATAAAATTATGTAGGTTTCAGGTGTATAATTCTATAGTACATCATCTGTACACAGTACTGTGTGCTCACCGCCCCAAGTCAAGCCTCCTTCCATCTCCATTTATCCCCCTTTACCCTCTTCTACCCTCCCCCCAACCCCCTGTCAACTCCAGTAATCTCCATACTGCAGTCTGTGTCTATGAGGTGGTTTTGTTTTTTTTTGGTTTGTTTGCTTATTTGGGGGCTTTTTTTTTTTTTACTTCATCCCTTCACCTTTTCCACCCATTTCCCAACCTCCCCTCCCCCTTGACACCTGTCAGTCTATTCTCTTTATCTATGAGTCTGAGTCTATTTCTATTTTGTTTGTTCATTAGATTCCACATATACCTGAAATCATATAGTACTTGTCTTTCTCTGACTTGGTTATCTCATTTAACGTAATACTCTCCAGGTCCACTCATGCTGTCGCAAAAGGTAAGATTCCCCCGCTTTTTTATGGCAGAATAGTATTCCATTGTGTAAATGTACTAGAGATTTTTTTATCCACTCATCTACTGATGGACACTTGGGCTGCTTCCTAATCTCAGTGATTGTAAATAATGCTTCAGTAAACATAGGGGTACATATATTCTTTTGAATCAGTGTTTTGGGTTTCTTTGGAATTATTTTCACAAGTGGAATCACTGAGTCATAAGGCAGTTCCATTTTTAACTTTTTGAGGTTACTGCTTTCCACAGTGGCTGCACCATTCTGCATTCCTACCAACAGTGCACAAACACTTGTTGTTTGATAGTCATTCTGACAGGTATGAAGTGATGTCTCACTGTGGTTTTAATTTGCATCTCTCTGATGATTAGTGACCTTGAGTATCTTTTCTATGTCTATTGGTCATTGGTTTGTCCTCTTTGGAGAAGTGTCTGTTCAGGTCCTTTGCTCATTTTTTAATTGGATGGTTTGTTTTTTTGGTGTTGATTGTTACAAGTTTTTAATAAATATTGGATACTAACCCCTTATCAGATGTATCATTAGCAAATATATTCTCCCATTCAGTGGATTGACTTTTCATTTTGTTGATGGTTTCCTTTGCTGTGCAAAAAACCTTTTAATTTAATATAGTACCACTTGTTTATTTTTCTTTTGTTTCTCTTGCCTGAGGAGATATAGCAGAAAAAAATATTGCTACAAGAAATGTTTGAAATTTTACTGCATATGTTATCTTTTAGGATTTTTAAGGTTTTGAGTCTTACATTTAAGCCTTTTGTCCATTTTGAGTTTATTCTTTAATATGGTATAATAAAGTGGTCTAATTTCATATTTTTTTTTGCTCATGTATGTCCAATTTCCCCAACACTATTTATTAAATAGACTATCTTTATTTACCCTACTGTATGTTCTTGCCTCCTTTGTCAAATATTAATTGATCATGAAGACGTAGGTTTATTTCTGGGCTCTCTACTTTGTTCCACTGATCTATATATCTGTTTTTATGCCAGCACCATGCTGTTTTGATTAGTATGGTCTTGTGGTATAGTTTGGTATCAGGTAGTGTGATTCTTCCAACTTTGATCTTTCTCAAGGTTGCTGTAGCTGTTCCAAGTCTTTGGTGGTTTCATATAAATTTTTGGAACATTTGTTCTAGTTATGTGAAAAAATTTCTAAATGTATCTTAAGAGTGTTGAAAACTAAGGTCTCTTAATCCTGCTTCAGTGGTAAAATAACAAGATAACTGGTAGATTGTCTGCTAATACAGGCTCCTTTTATAACACAAAGTCCCCATGTTTGAGAGTTAGTTGTAAAAAAAGAATTGTCCCACTTCTGCCATTGGAAGACTGGAATGCTATAGGAGCAGGTTGTCCTGTACACAGTCCCTGTCATCGATTCCTAGACTAAATTGGGTCCCTGTTACAATGAGCCTCAAGGGACTGAATAAAGCTGTGTTATTTGAAATGATGGGTTCATGGCTCAAATATTCATTTCCCAAAGAATTTCTCCATAAGTCAATCAATTTATGTTGAGCTTGTATCTTTGAAACAATTCTTCTCCTCCTGGGGATCACAGACCTGAAACATTTTGGTATTCCCATAATGGAGATGTGTCTTTTCCTCTTACCTAACCGTGTTCCACACCCAGCCTCTCATCTTTTTCAGCCACATTAGCTTGTTCAGCTATTGTTGCTGACCTTAGAGAACTTTAGAGTCTTAATTGCTTCAATATCCTGTCTTTGGGAGTCTCTAAGGATGTAATTTTGTGTTCTTTTTGCCTCCCAAGAAAATGCAATGGAGGTGAATTTAGAAAATTAACAACCATCTAGACATTATGAAGGAACAAACCTGCCTGCATTTAGCAGAATGGCAAGAGGTATAGCAGCCCTAGTGGAGAATAGCTAAGACTGCAAATTCTTTTTTCTTGTCTTTAAGATACCAGTTGTTATGTGCAGGACAGGAGAAGATCTTTTTATACTCATACCAGTGTTTTAACTCAAACATCATTTTTTACTAAAGAACAATGTTTTTACTAAACATTGGAGAACTGAAATATCCTTGTGTTCATCCACTGACCAGCTCTTTATCAAGCACCTTTTCTACTGTGGAAACTAAATCATGATGTGCTCCCTCCCCAAGGAGAGTACAGTTTTAATTAAAAAAAAAATTATTCCAACAAATGACAGTTAAGACAATATGTAGTAAATGACATACATGTCATTCAAAACATAAATAGGAGTGGGGAAGTACCACAATTATTATGTGTACGTTAACTTTTTTAATCTCTTAACTCTACCTGTGGATAGGAAAGGTATGTCCTGTTAACCTCAGTTGGAAATTCTCTGGCACAGAAAAGGTTAACATGCCACAGAAAGAGGTGTAGGCTAGGTTAGAGTCATGTGTCCTCATTCTAATTCCTGGTACTTCTTAATCAAATAACATACTCACTCCTACAGTTCAAAAATGACTGATTTCTTGAACCATGAACATTTTCATTTATTCAACAAAATCTTACTGAAGAGTCCAATATGTGCCTAACATAATGCCAGGTGGTGAGCCAATAAATTTGAAGTAATGTCTGCTTTATTCTCTTATTCAGGTATTTTATTGCAAACTCTTGGAAGAGGCAAATCGAGGCTCATTTCCAGCAGAGATGGTGAATAAAATCTTTTCTAATATTTCATCAATAAATGCCTTCCATAGTAAATTCCTATTGCCAGAACTGGAGAAACGAATGCAAGAATGGTAAGAGGAATAGATAGCAACTGATGTGTCTAAGACAGTCACACTAGATGCTGTGTTATTCAGCTTTTAAATTGAAATACTAATGTCACCCAGAGCTGCAGGCAGACATTTGTGCTAAATTTTTATATTATAAACCAATAATAGAGGTTGCATGTTTTCAACTTTAGCTGAAAAAGATTTCCATCTCTGCTCCTCAAACTATGTTGACTAGTGAAGATAAGATATTAGGGATAATCTGGAACTTCAAGATTTTCTTAGCTCTCTCTTTACTATATCATTCCTAACTTCCTTTAATTCTCTACCTTCCTTCATTCTCTACCACTCTCACAGCAAAGTGGATCCAATAAAGCACAGTGTGTGTGTGTAGAAAAGTGATTACTTCATTTGAAGTTCTGTTAATTCTCTCATCCTATAAGAAATTTTAATGACTTGCTTCTATATTTTATACAGGGAAACTACCCCTAGAATTGGTGATATCCTTCAGAAATTGGCGCCATTCCTTAAGATGTATGGAGAATATGTGAAGGGATTTGATAACGCAATGGAATTGGTTAAAAACATGACAGAGCGCATTCCCCAGTTCAAATCAGTAGTTGAAGAAATTCAGGTAATATGACTCTTTTATTCAAGGCTATGCATCAATTTTTCTGTACAAATCGTAGTCTTCTAAGCCTAAAATGTAGATTGCAAGAGCTGTCCAAGACACCTAGCCAAACTCCATGCCATTCTGAATTATACAGAAGTCGTCTCTGAGAAGGTAAAATATTTATTGAGCATATGCCATATGTTGAATAGTGAACTCTCTATTTGCTTTTGAGACCAGGAGAGTGGTTTTATCAGGGATCCACGTACATGACAAAGCAAATTTCCATTTAGTTTTGTGCCTCTCTTGCCTTCTTTCAGAGGTTGAGGTGTTGGAATGAATCTAAAGAATGATTGCTACAAATCCTGACATCTTGGAAACATGATTATTTTGGATTTATTGTCACTTTATTTCTATGTCCTGATTTTTTAAAACTTTTAATACACCTAGATAGTGCATTTTAATAATGCCATAGATTATTAATCAAAATTGTTAAAACTATTCTTTGCTAAAGTTTAAATATTTAAAAGGAATTCTTTAGATCACATAAGATTCTGGGGTTGGGGATTCTCTTGCTCCTTGGCTGCTCTCTTTTGTGTTTATTCCTTCTCTATATTCTCCTGTGAGGTGATATAGTCAAGGAGCTTAACAGGGAGCTTGTTGCATAATAAGTGCTCACTACACCATGGTGCTGAGAGTGGTCATTATTTTATCAAATCTTAAATCCATCTTCACAATGTCTGCCACCTCCAGATTATGAGGAAGTGATGGGGTTGTGAAAGGAGCAATGGATTGACAATCAGCTAACTTAGTTTAGAATGCTAGTCTGCCACTTGCAATGATCTGAAGAGTCTCCTAACTCTTTTCAGCCACAGTTTCTTTATGTACAAATTTTGGGATCAGTAATGTTTTCCTGGGTATAGGTATGTTAGAGAAAATTAAATGAGATAACTAAACTTATTAATATTTATTAAGCAAAGCCGTTAACCCTCAGCTTTCATGCTAATTTCAGGATCTTTTTGCTTTTTCTGGTCTGCAATAATAACTTCCAAACTAGTTTCCCCACATGTCCTAAAACCATATTGCAGTAGGTTGATCTTAATATTGGTCTCTAATGATATCACTCCCCTGCATGAAAGCCTGCATTAAATGAAACAATATTAAATGTGGTTTGACATTATTACCCCAGATTACTGTTTCTTCTTCATCCTGTTTCCCTTCAAATGTATTATTTTCCAACAAAACTCAATTGTTCTTTTTTACTGAACATGTTTCATGCCCCACTGTCTTGGGCCTGTTCTCCAAGGTCACTCAATCTTCACTTGCCTCCTGGTCTTCCTCGCTTTACTTCCTACCCCAAGCCTGCCCTCATCCACGTTCATGTTAAATGCTCCTTTATCTGTGAAGCCTTTGGATTTTTGTTTGCTTTAAATGCAAACATCATGTCTAAAAACAATTTTTATACTCTGCAGTGTCTTAATCGTAATATGAGTTTAACAAATATGTTAAGATTCATGCTTTGTTTAATATGAATAAGAACATATTTTCAAGTAATCTTTTCCCTTTCTTATGTTAACGGCTTATTGAAAGCAAATGCTTTCTCCCATTTGGACTGATTTTCTCCTGGGAGATTTTCGTTTCTAATGGAAAAGAATGCCATGACCTAATGAAAAATTAAAATTTACTGACAGATGATAAAATGATCACATCTTGTCATTCTTTTTTAAGTTCAAAAGAAATGACATTTGTGGTAGCCTTATTATGAAATAGTTTCTGATGAGTCCAAAGTCATTTAATAAAGTTGTTCTTAGTGAAGCTCATTAAATAAAAGGTGGGGCAAAAGTAGGTTTACAGTTGTGAACACAAGAAACACAGTTTATTCTTGTATTGGTATTATTATTTATTTACTGTGTTATTTTCCATGCAAACAACTGTAAACTCATTTTTGGCATGCCCTGTAGATGCTTCTTTTGAAAATCCTTGGAGTATGATTTAATGACGTGACCTCACACACTCTTGTAGTGGCTAATTGAAGTGGTTGTCAGCAATCTGGAAAGCTCTTGCTTACGATTCTTGATTTTCCTTTCTGTTCTTACACTAGGTTGTTAGTTCTGAAACAGAAATGAAAGAATCTGGGGTGTTTTTAAATGCACATGCCCAGTCCTTAACCTCAAAGACTATAGTTTCACAGATGGAGATGGGCTTCAAAATTTCCATTATTAGTAGCACTCCAGATATTTCTAATGCAGATGTGCACACAGGCCATACTTTGAAGAGAGATTCTGCCCTCAATGAAAGCTCTGTACAACAGTGAATTTTGAGATTAGCTACCCTAATTTTTAAATCTTTCTTTAATAACCTAATTACAGAAACAGAAGATCTGTGGGAACTTGACTTTGCAGCATCACATGCTAGAACCTGTTCAGCGGATCCCCCGGTATGAGATGCTCCTTAAGGATTATCTGCGCAAGCTGCCCCCTGATTCTCCTGACTGGAATGATGCTAAAAGTAAGTACTTTTCCTCCTCTTTTCCATTATGGGATAATGTGATGGCCAAGCAGCGTTGTAATAACAAAGCCGGATATGTCTCATAGCCACTTCAGTAAAATATTGGTGACAGAAAAGAACCTCACTGGAAATTGTTATCAGCACCTCAGTTAGGAAAGCACTTTAGAACAACACAAATCACTCTTCTCATGTTGGTTTCACATGAATCATTAACTCTGAAATGTAAAACTATAGTCTTAGAGACATCTGGAATAGCAATACACAATGACCCTCTCACAGGAAGAATATACCATTCAGAATTACTAGTGCTGCTGGCTAATTAGGTAGGTTGGTGCCTACCAAGAAAGTTAAGGTGGCATTTATTATATAAAAATCACCTGAGCAAAGTTGGCTTAGGAGAGAAAGTGGTGTTATTTAGTGTCAGTCAACATTTTCCCTGGGAAAGCTTTATTCCGATTCTGCTGGTTGTCATATTTTACAGACTTGTCATTTATATCTTTTAGATCATAAATGAAAGGCTTTTTCTTTTTAAATCTCAAAAGTTTCAATAACAATTTTACTTTCTCATGTACTTTTAAAAAATCTGCTTGCTGTGAAGGTAAGAATGAAAGTTAAGAAATAGAAATGGGTTACTATCAGTAAGTATTAAAAATACTGGTGTGCAATCTTAAAGCATTGCCACTTCCCCTGGTAATTTCCTATCTTCTGTTATAAGTGAACCTTGATCACAGATGAGGAACACAAAACCCAATCTTTGTCTCGGAGCCTGTGCAGTGTTTTGAACGCAGGCTATCTCGGATTCGATTTTCCCACCATCCAAGTGAGTCAGTGACCACAGGAACTTCTCTCCTCCCTTTTCTCCCTCTTCAGTTTAGAGCTCTCCTGACTTGATTTCTTCCACTTTTTATTTGATCTCCACTGGCCACTCATCTGGCCTGTGCTTGTGTTAGTGGCAGAACTAGTGGTTGGGTTGGAGGCGGGAATCCCCGCGGCTGCTCCTCAAACCGGCCCCCTGCGCAGTGCCTCCAGCCTGTCTTGTTTTGTTTCCCCTCCGCCGTGGGCTCTGTAGAGAATGCACAGAATTGCCCAACTCGGCATAGTTCTCCAAAACATAAGTTAAAGTCTTTGAATATAGAAGAAACTGGATTTTTATTTATATCTTGGAGAACTAGATTTTTCTATATTCAAAGATTTTGACTTCCTCTAAGGTACTACTGTCAAATATGACCAAGTTGGCAACATGGTAGTGTATTTTATTACTTTTTTATTTCCCATTGCTACTTACACTAAAATTCTAAGGAAATCATAAAGGGAGACCTAAAAGTAAGGAAAGCAACAGACGTACATTTTGTTCAGCAAAGAAGAGAGAAAATTTCATCCAGAGGTGATAAGGTGGTTGTAACAGAATTAACCCAACCAGGATTCATAAGATAGAAATAAAGTGCAAGAGCAGGGCATGGTGTAGGATTGAGAGTGTGGCCGCGCCGGCTGGAGGCCTCAGCTTTCCCAGCTTCGCCGGCTGCCACGGAGCTCCTGCCTTGCTCATTCCAGGAGTTCCCATTCCTATGCTACCACCCACCCAGCAACAAATCCCTCTGTCCGCATTGGCATCAGAAGATTCTCTTTCGCCTGGCTCAGGCGAGAGCCATGGTTGTCTTTTTCCCAAAGAAAGGTGGCTCTGCCCAGTGGTTAAATTACTCATAAGAATGAATAAAATAATACCACTGAAATGTAGAATTTGAGTCAGAAGGCTTAGGTTCAAGTGCGGTCCTTTAATATCACAGTTGTGTGACTGTATCCCGGGCACAGCACTCTCCATTCCTTTCATCTGACAAATGGAGCCAATATGCTTTCCTTTCAGGGTTGGAGAAGGAGTAATTGACCTAATATCTATGAAAGCACCTGGCAGAGTGCCATGTCCCAAGTTAGCGTACATGGGGTTTGTTGATTTTGAAAGTTTCATTTGGATTAAATGTACCCGTAAGCCTAATCATTGTATATGATTTTTTATGAGGCAATACCCTTCAAGTTCCAAGTATTGATCCACTTACAAATGAACTTTTGAAAGCATCTAGTTTGTAAATGAAAATTGCCCTTGCCTTTACTGTGCGTCTTTGGTCTCAGATTTCTGCCACTTTTTTTCTCTTCCAGAATTATTCTTATTGTAATGAGAAGTGTGTTATTCAGCTATCTAGTAGCATAGTAAGGACAACATATATTTATTTTCTTTTCTTTTTCCCCATTTAGAATCACTTGAAATTATATCTACAGCAGCAAGCCATTCTAATAGTGCAATAAGAAAAATGGTAAGTGTTTTTCAGAGGAGACAGTAATCTTGTAGTTGGATAATTGTCAACAATATAACCTAATATTATCTATAGGTTTGGATCAAAATGAATTGATACAGATAAATGAAAAAGATTGTTTGCAAACTGTTTAATGTTTTCTGTAATAATCTCCTCTTCTCCCAGGTTTTCATTTTCTCATAACCGACATAATGTATGCCAAAATTTATGCTAAGTTCCAGTCACTTCTGAGTTATTCATATTTGAGCCAACGTTGATGTATTATTAAAGCCACTATGGTGAAACCTCCTTATATTTGATCTTGCTGTGTTTTTGTTTTAATTTCCTAGGAGAACCTAAAGAAACTCTTAGAAATTTATGAAATGTTGGGAGAAGAAGAAGACATTGTAAATCCTTCAAATGAGCTAATAAAAGAAGGACAGATCCTTAAACTAGCTGCTCGGAACACATCAGCACAAGAACGCTACCTTTTCTTAGTGAGTATTGTAGTGTGAGCAAATTGCATAAGAATAATTTATAAACGTTTTATATACATCTTGAATAAGTAGGATGCTTTCTGTATCTCTAACCTGGTGCAGTCACCATTGTCAAGGTTCCACAAAAGGAATGTCCTTAGTAACTGACACTTGTTCTTTCAGGGACACCAATCTTTTTCTTGAAGTATTTTTCTATCATTTTTCTGTGTATTTATCATATGTAATTCACTTCAGTAACACATACTAAAGACAATTTAACCTTCTCCTGAAGATTATAGCCATCAGTAGTGTGTATGTGGGTGAGGACATGCTTTCTGGAATCCTCCTTTTCTTGTTTCAGATTTTCTCTTTCCTTTCATTCTCATAGGTTGAAAGGTACCATTTTCTGGTTATTGGTTTGGTCAACATACTGTTCCTTAACAACAGTTCTCTTCCTAATCTTCTCTAACCACTACTTCTAATCTTTTTAGTATGAAGTATATGAGCAACGTTGGAAAACTAGTACCTAAAATACCAAGTGAAAAGCATATGAGTTTGCTACATGGTTCCTTTCCACTGCAGTCAGTCCCTGTCCCTTCTTTCATTTCCTTGAAGTGACAATTAGGCTTATCTCAAATGCAAGAGCGCTTTCTGGGGTATCCACGCTATTTATTTTTAGTCACTGGTAATTCCAGCTTGTTTTCTTATCTAATGATATAATGAAAATCATACTAATAGCTAACATTGAGTCACAGTAAGCCAACATTGAGTAATAGCTCAGTAAATGTTAGCTATTATTACAATTATTACTTATAGACAAAGAAACAGAGAAACTTTGGTAAAAAAGCTGCCCAATGACTGGCACCCGATTACAGTCTCAGGATGTCACTCACATCTGGCTTTCCTGCTGCAAGGCAGTCACCTCACCACTATAATATGAGTTGTCATTGGGAGCTAAGAAATTTCTGTTGTCTGGGTACAGTCTCCCTTGAAAGGAAAACTTATGGAAACTAATTGTCATGCAGAGGAGTGTTCCCATTTCTTAAAAAGAACATATGGTCACCATATGACCCAGCAGTTCTACTCCAAGTTTGTGTAACTCAAGAAAATTGAAAACATGTATCTACATAAAACTTATATTTGAATGTTCATAGCAAAATTATTCATACCAGCCAAAAAGTGCAAACAACCTAAATGTTCATCAACTTATGAATGGGTAGACAAATTGTGTAGACTATCCCTGCAGTAGAATATGATATGCCAGTAAAAAGAAATAAACTACACTTCCTGCCCAGGTAGCTCAGTTGGTTGGAGTGTTGTCCCTTACACCAAAATTGTTACAGGTTGGATCCCCAGTCAAAGGCACATACCTAGGTTGTAGGTTCAGTCCTCGATCGGGGAATGTTTGGGAGGCAACCAATTGATGTTTCTCTCTCTCTCTCTCTCTCTCTCTCTCTCTCTCTCACTCTCTCTGAAATCAATAAGCATATCCTTGGGTGAGGTATGTGGGCTCTGGGCAGGTAGGTTTTCATCCGAAAGGTGTGCTTGCAAATGAGTCATTTACTGTCTGGGAATCGGGTGACCCTGGGAGGAGCCGTCTGTCCGGTGTCAGTAAGGTCCAACAAATGTCAAAGCATCCAACATACAGATTAAACAGACATACGCAATACACCATTTGGGGGGGAAATGCCTGGAAGTCCATGTCTTGCCTTTGTCATTACCCTGCCTTTAGGTGCATAGGTCATTTTTCTGTTCCCTCTTCCACATTAGTGTTATACTGTCTACAGTGGAACTTCTAACCAATTGCGTTAGTTGAATTTTCACATTTGAGAATTGTTCTGGAAATAGTTTTAGGTTGCCTGCCTTGATACAGACCCAAATTAAGCAGCTATTAGAACAGGTGGCAAGAGCCTTGAGGGAAAAGAGCAGCAGTAACTTTGAGGCAAAGACCCATCTTGTTCCAGTTGTTACAAGCTCTCAAACATCTCATGATGCCATTGCCTCCAGGGAGAATAAAGCCACATGGCAGGAACTTTAGGGAAGCCACATTTATCTTTTGCAGACCATCTTAGAAGCCTTTCCTGCAGTGTTTCCACTGTTAACCCTCCCCTCTAATGCTGTGTTTGTCTCAGACGCCCTCCTCTGGCCTGCACACTTTTATTCCCGTAGAGCATCTTGGTTTTTTCATATGTAGAAACTTCAGAAGTACCATTTTTATTTTCCTTTTGCTCTAGAAAAAACATGAGAGCTGGTTTTCCGTTTCCTACTCTGGGGAAGCTACATTCATCTGAAGAGTCAAATTATATTTAGAATCTGATTTTGGCTTTCAAATCTTCATGTGTTTGCAAATTTGCCTGCCTCCACACCATTTTTTAAAAATATGTCAGTGGTAGGGTATTCTGTTAATAACCACACCTGACAGGTGAAAGTTTTTTAAAAATGCACCAAATTATCCTATAGAATGGCCCAAGAGCTTTTATTCTTGGCCTTTTGGAGTTCTATTTCTTATTTCCTTGTAACTTGACAGATTTAGATTTTTTTTCCCTTTATTTAAACTTTTAATACAGACTAGGCTCTGGAAACTCCTCCAAAAATATGCTTTTACCTTCTAAATCAAACTTCAATGAAACAGTCACTAGTGAGACATCAAATTGAATTATTTCATTCAAATAAATATATTTTAAGAAACTTCAAATAAATAATGGAGGAATGCTAGAGATCAAGAATGGGGCACTTCCCTACACTTTGAATAAGACTGAGACTTGCTTCTAGGTTTTGGCACAGCCTAGCACTTTTAACACTGGTCTCACCAGTCAGAGGTTGCTTTGCCAATATCTACTTCAGAGCGATGGGCCTGGAGTAAAAAGGAACCTCCTACACTGAAAAGGAAAGTTGATCTACTAGGAGTTATGGTTGCTGTAACTTCTTCTTTTAGTACAGTAGAAGCCCAGAGAGATGACAGTGGCTTTTGCCACAAGAACAAGGTTCATAGGGGGATCAGGACTCACTTCCTTTACATGTATACCATCTACTTCTTTGTAAGCGATATTTTATATCCTTCAAGAGCTCTCACCTTCACCTTTAGGAAGAAGAAAAGGGGTATTTATTGACTAGCATTAGATTTTGACCTATATATTGAAAGGTTAATAGTTATTGACATTTTGGAGTGTAAAGTTCCACTTAGGAAGAAGATAATAGGAGAAATGTAATCCTGAAAACATGAAAGGGAAAGAGAAAAGTATCATTTAATATAAGATCGTCTGTCATCTTGTTTGAGCATAACTACAAAAAGTAAATGCTGCCCTAGCCAGTGTGGCTCAGTTGGTTGGAGCATTTCCCTATAACCAAAAGTTTGCTGGTTTGATTTCCAGTCAGGGCATGTGCCTAGGTTGTGTGTTCAATCCCCAGTCAGGGAACATACAAGAGGCAACTAATCAATGTTTCTCTGTTACATCAGTCATCAGTGTTTCTTTCTCTCTCTCCCTCCCTCCCTCCCCACCTTCCCCTACTCACTAAAAGCAATGGAAATTTTGTCGTTGGGTGAGGATAAAAAAAGCAAATACTAAGAACTTCCATATTCACTTGTGTTTCCATAAAGTAACAAGACTTTGCTGAACTTTGTAAAGTGAACTTGAGAACAAGTATCAGATAACTCAGAAATTTTATGCCAAAACATCACATTTATCACTCAACTTACAGAAAAAATTTGGTGGTTTTTGCTGTCTTTAGAGTGTGAGCCCTGTCCCTTTTGGTGCTGGCTGGGCAGCTGGTCCTGCACCATTCATAGCCTTGACCAAGTCCCTACCTGAGAAGGCCTTGATAGACGAGAGAAAGAGATGTCAACATGAAGGTAGCAGGCAAGCTGTTGCCTTAATCAAGCTGGGATGGTGCTGAGAACCTCTCAGTGCATTTTCAAATCTCTAGATCATAGCTGCTAGAGTTCTGAGGCTCTGACTGTCATAGTGAGAGTACAGCAGACATGATAAAGGCATAGGTTATTAGTGTTCACTTCTCAAAATGTAAACGTGAAATGTGGTGGTCATATATCCGATAAAATGCACTTGTGTCCTTTTATTTCTGCATTATCCACTTGTGGAAATGAAATTTCTGACGCTGGTTACAGGAAGTTGCAAAATGATATATGAGGAACAACTGGTGAGAAATTTGCTTTCAGAATGAGTACAATACACGTTATCACGAAAAACATGTTGAAATGTCTTTAAATATCCATCACCATTTCTAGTCTTTATGGTGGTGTGGAGCCAAACAGAAGACCTGGCAGAATACAACATTTTCCTTATTTCATCCTGTCAACAACATGTAACTGTTACAGATAATGATCCTGAGACATGCGAGGTTACGTTGTGAATAAGGGTGTAAGTCCCCAGTTGCTCTCATCTTTGAAAAATATATGCGACCCTAGAAACAACTATGAAGGACGAATATAGATATGGACCTTTTTTAGGAATCTGCCTATGAATTAACCCAAATATTTAGACCCTGTCATCCTTTTGCATGTTTTAATACATACAAAGGGAATCAAATGCCCTCCCAAAATCATTGCTTGGGCCTGATAAGCAAGGGCTGTTCATTGTTGCCTAGGGATGAGGCACTGCACAAAATTTGATTCAGGTTCAAAATAAAGTTGTTCATTTTAAAAGTAAATCTCATAAAGCTCTGGCTGGGTGGCTAAGCTCATTGGAGCATTGTCCTTGTGCGCCAAGGTTGTGGCACAAGACAATGCTCCTGGTCAGGGCACATACAAGAATCAACCAAGGAATACATACAGTAAGTGGGGCAACGATTCCATGTTTCTTCCTTTCTCTCTCTCTCTAAAATCAATAAATACATTTTTTAAAGTAGATCTTATAAAGACTATCTTTAAAGATGCTTTGCTAAAATAGCTGACTTTTCTGTTCATTTATACAGGATGAATTCTTAAGCATGATATGGGTCAATATAAAACAGTGATGTAGTTTCTTATGGTGTTAATATGCTAACCCCACATGTATGAATAAAATTTAAGATAATAATTTTTGGCTATATGTTAATTTAACATTAAACACACTGATAAAAATAATTACTAAATATTACTCTTTCCCTCTGACAGCTGATACACAGTTGCTCCCTAAGACACAAACATTAGAAATTTTGTGATCTAAGTACTTTAGTTTTATGGACTGAGAATTTCAGCTGCCGGTGTATGGAAGGCTCTTAATAAATTATTGCTGAATTTAATTGAATTAATTTCATTAATAGTACAAAATGAGGATTGGTTTATTTAAATATCAATAAAATATTTATGAACCAACACAGGGAAGTGTATGCTATGAATTTTAAAATTCAATAATTTTGGTACAAGCATAAAATCTCAATATTGTATTGAGATAATTTTGCTCATATAGAAAGTATGATACTCCTTGGGAAGTCCTTGTAATGTTGCCTAAGATTACTTTCAGTATTGGTCACTTTCTTCTTTGTTTTCCTATTTATTATTGATATGTGTTCTGCCTCCTTGCAGTTCAACAACATGTTGCTCTACTGCGTGCCAAGATTCAGCTTGGTGGGCTCTAAATTCACAGTGCGAACCAGGGTTGGCATAGATGGAATGCAAATCGTAGAGACCCACAATGAGGAATACCCGCACACTTTCCAGGTGTCTGGGAAAGAGAGAACACTGGAATTGCAAGCCAGGTAAGAGAACCATTTCTATCACACAGCTTTCAAAAGCAGCAGAATTAGTTGTAGAACAGAATAATTCTGAGGATCTTTCCCAAGTGAATGCTACAGATCTCTGCCATTCTGGTTGGACGTAAGTGGAGAGTTGAAAGCTCTAGAAAAGCAGGAATGATGTCTTCCATTATGATTCCTCTGCAGTGCCTAGGATAGTTGTTTTCAGAAAGTAAGCATTCAGTAAACTGTACTTACTCTTTAGATATACAAGGTGCTCAGAGAATGAAGTTGTTGCATTTAAGCCAAGTTTTGAGTCTTTGTAGGAAAAGATTCTCCCCTAATCCTTTTTCCTCCATCCTTCCTTTGGTACACAAATGTTTATTGATGATTATTATTCCATGCCAGATGTTGAAGTTTAACACTTAGTCTTTCAGAGTCTCTGCAATCATGTGACTTAATGATACTTTGATGGAGAGAATGTTCGGAGGAGGCAGGGTAAAAAAGGTAATGATTCTTTTGTCATTTTTGGAGGATACACCAAGGAGGCCATTTGGGCCTCTAGCAACTAGGACTTTGTATATGCTTCTTGTATGCTTCACTGAGTGAGAGAGAAAGGGCTGGAGTTCCCCCATCCATCGGCCTAGCATAACCATGTTGGAAAGAAAAAACAGGGCAACCACTACGGTGGATCACAGCTACCTCTTGTGTGAACCACTGCAGGACAGATTGCTGTCAGGTCTTGAAATACCTGCTTTACTAAGACTGTTACCCCTTTAGCTTACCTGGCATGGTGAAAATAGGGATACTCCAGAAAGTCACAGATCAGAGGGTTAAGTGCCAACCCCAGCCCTCATGTTTCTGATACCCTAGAATCTGTGGAGAGTCAGAGCCCTTCTGTTCATTTGCACCAATAGTGTGTGTTTCTGGCTGCTCCCATGAATTCATCCTGGGTTTTTGCACTTAGAAACTACAGAGCTTAAACTTCAGGCTTTGATAAGGGAATAAATCATTTTAGCAGGAATTTGTGCCCTGGAGGTCAGGAACTGGTGAAATTACAATTGTGAGAGATGTAGCAGGCTGCAGGGGGACTGATCTAAGGATTCGAAGGTGGCATTTCAAACATGAGTTGAAATGATGGAGGGCTTGGCTCTGAATATAATGATTTTTCTACCTTATCATAATAGGGTTTGGACCCCAGGCATCAAACCCAAGAGAAGAATGTATTTTGTTGACTCACTGAGTGATTGCACTTGGCAACAAGGAAGCCTACACTATAGTTCTGATCATTAAAGATCTTTTTTTTTTTAACCTTTTTTTAATTCTTATTTATCCTATTACAGTTGTCCCAATTTTCCCCCCTTTGCTCTCCTCCACCCAGCCCACCCCCCGCTCCACAGTCAATCCCCGCACGGTTGTCCATGTCCAAGGGTCATTCATACATGTTCTTCTACTGAACCCTTCCCCTTCTTTCCACCATTCCCTCTCCCTTTTCCCCTTTCCCCTCTGGCAGCTGTCAGTCTGTTCCATGTTTCCATGTCTCTGGTTCTGTTTTGTTCATTAGGTTCCTCTTATATGTGAGATCATATGGCATTTGTCTTTCACCAACTGGCTTATTTCACTTAGCATAATAGTCTCCAGTTCTACCCATGCTATTGCAAAACATAGGAATTCCTCCTTTCTTTCTGCTGTGTAGTATTCCATTGTGTAAATCTACCACAGTTTTTTAATCCGTTCATCTACTGATGGGCACTTAGGTTGCATCCAGCACTTGGTTATTATAAATAGTACTGCTATGAACATAGGGATGCATAAGTTCTTTTCAATTGGTGTTTCAGGATTTTTAGGGTATATTCCCAGCAATGGAATCACTGGGTCAAAAGGCAGTTCCATTTTTAATTTTTGGAGGAAATTTGATGCTGTTTTCCACAGTGGCTATGCCAGTCTGCATTCCCACCAACAGTACACAAGGGTTCCCTTTTCTTCACATCCTCACAGGCACTTGTTGTTTGTTGATTTATTAATGATAGCCATTCTGACAGGTGTGAGGTGCTATATCATTGTGGTTTTAATTTGCATTTCTCTGATGGCTAGTAATGTTGAGCATTTTTTCATTTATCTATTGGTCATCTGTATGTCCTCCTTGGAGAAAGGCCTATTTAGGTCCTTTGCCCATTTTTTAACTGGGTTATTTGTCTTCCTGGTGTTGAGTTCTATGAGTTCTTTATATATTTTGGAGATAAACCCTTGTCCAGTTTATCATTGGCAAATATCTTCTCCCATGTGGTTTACTTTTCATTTTGATGTTGGTTTCCTTAGCCATGCAGAAGCTTTTTAATTTGATGTAGTCCCATTTGTTTATTTTTTCCTTTATTTCCCTTGCCCTAAGAGATATACTAGCAAAAATATTGCTACGTGGGATATCTGAAATTTTTTGTTTTTGTTGTTGCTATAGGAATGGGATTTTTTTTTTTAGTTTACTTTTCTGATAGTTCCTTGTTGGTGTACAAAAATGCCATTGATTCTGAATATTGACTTGTATCCCGCTACTTTGCTGAATTCACTTATTAGGTCAGGTAGTTTTTGTTGGAGCCTATAGGGTTTTCTATCTACACTATCATGTTGTCTGCAAATAACAACAGTTTTACTTCCTCTTTTACAATTTGGATGCCTTTTATTTCTTCTTGTCTGGTTGCTGTTGCTAGGACATCTAGTATTCTGTTGAATAAGGGTGGTGAAAGCAGACACTCTTGTTTTGTTCCTGCTCTTAAGGGAAATGCTTTTATTTTTTGCCCACTGAGTATGATATTGGCAGGAGGTTTTTCATTTATGGCCTTTATTATATTGAGCTATGCTCTCTCCCTTCCCACTTTGCTGAATGTTTTATCATAAATGGGTGCTGGATTTTATCAAATGCTTTTTCAGGATCTATTGATATGATAGAAAAAGGAGGAAAGAATTTTCTCCTTTTTCTATCATACAAATTCTTTCTCCTTTTCTATCACAAAGGAGAAAGAATTTTGTCTTTCATTTTGTTTATGTAATGTTATCACATTTATTGATTTGCAAATATTGTATAATCCTTGCATCCCTGGAATAAATCTCGTGTGATCATGGTGTATGATTTTTTAGTGTATTGTTGGATCAAGTTTGCTAATATTTTGTTGAGCATTTTAACATCTATGTTAATCAGAAATATTGGCCTATAATTTTCTTTCATTGTTGTGTCTTTACCTGGTTTTGGGATTAGGATAACACTGACCTTGTAAAAAAGAATTTGGGAATCTTCCCTCTTCTTGATTTTTTTTGGAATAGTTTGAGATAGACAGGCGTTAGTTTTTCTTTGAATATTTGGTCAAATTCACCTGTGAAGCCATCCAGTCCAGGGCTTTTGTGTGCTGGTAATTTTTTGATTACTGCTTCAATTTTGCTAGTTGTTATCAGTCCATTCAGGTTTGCTGCTTCTTCTTGATTCAGTTTTAGAAGATCGTATGTTTCTAGAAATGTATCCATTTCACCCAGTTGTCCAATTTCTTGGCATATAGTTGTTCGTAATAATTTATTTTTATTTTAAGATTTTTTATTATTTACTTTTAGAGAGAGGGAAAGGGAAGGTGAAAGAGAGAGAGAGACATTGATGTTCCAGAGAAACATCTCAGTCAGTTGCCTCTCACACACCCACTGCTGGGGACCTGGCCCGCAACCCAGGCCTGTGACCAGGAAATGAACCAGCGACTTTTCCTTTCCAGGCTGGTGCTAGTCCACTGAGCCACACCAGCCATGGCATTTCTTACAATCTTTTGTATTTGTGGTATCAGTTGTTACCGCTCTTTCATTTCTGATTTTACTTATTTGGGTCATCTTTCTTTTTTTCCCGATGAAGTCTGGTTAACCATTAATTTTGTTTAACTTCAAAGAATCAGCTCCTGGATTCATTGATCCTTTGAATTGTGTGTTTCGTTTCTATGTCATTTAATTCTGCTCTGGTCTTGATTAGTTCCTTCCGTCTGCTTGCTCTGGGCGTTGCTGTTGTTCCTCTAGTCCTTTTAGATGTAGGGTTAGCTTGTTTATTTGAGATTTTTCTGTGGTCATTAGAGAAGCCTTCATCGCAGAAGAATGAAGATGCTGCTGCTGGCTGTGAAATGTCAGCATGCTTTCAAATCTGCAATTGCAAGATGTGTGTCTGAAGAACAGAATATTTTCAAAGTTTCTTGGGTTGCCTGAGTTGGGGACTCCAGCCCCATTTATCAGGTTGGGCTGTTTTCTCTTTAGGATAGGGCTGATTCATGAAGAATTTTATAAAGCACAGATCTAGTCATCACTTTGTAGAGTTCCAATATACAGTATTGGATAGATTCCAGTTAGTATAGAAACATGGTCATTTTACTTAAATTTTTTATTCCCCTGATATCATTGCTCTAGATATATTTATATTCTAGAATATATTATTATTATATAGTAATCTGAAGATTGAAATTAAGTGATTACTCCCTCAGCCCAGCCCGCCTGGGGTCCAGGGAGCGGGGCCAGAGGGATATCAATGCTGGAGGCTGGGTGTCCTGCGGTTTAGTTGCTGGACCCTCCGGCCAGTGCAGCCATGTCACTAGGTCGCCCACAGAGGCTGAGGGCACAACCCTGACGCCTCTACAGGGAACACAGGTGCAAGGGCGGTGGAGGGGGCCCAAGGGCAGGGCCCTCGGTGTGAGCGGGAGGCTAGCGAAGGGGACTGCGGGGGGCGGGGCTGGTCCTCGGCCCCCGGTCAATCCGTCCGCGTGGTGCGGTTCCCGCGCGCTCAGGGCGTCCGTAGGGCCCCCCAGGCCCGGGCCCAGCGGGAATTGCGGACAAGTGTGCAATGACTCTCAAGAATGGAGACGTTCAGAATGCCGGAATGTTAGCGGGATGACATGGCAACCAAACTTGGGTGCATATTTGGAGATATTTCAAGATAATTCACTTCCGAAGCCGCCTGAGAAAAGAGGGTTATCCTTTTGTTGCTAAAGGAGTCAGCCTCAAGGCTGACCTCTTATACTCTGCGCACTCCTCCAGATTCAAAAGAATATAAAGTATTTCTGTTTTCTGTAGTTTTTATTCAATGGTTTTTGGTTGCTATATGGGTATAAAAATGTAGTGATAAGTAACCTCAACAAAGGAGTAAGTCAAAACCATTAAAGACTCCAAGTTTCCTTGACTTTAGAAAGCTAAAATCAGCCAGCCTCAACTTCACTTTCAGGGCAGTAGAGCCGATTTCGTGGGGGCAGGGCACAGCCATAGAGGGAAACCTTTTTGCGGGGGAGAGATGGAATCCCCACCCAGCCTGCCCCGAGGATCCCCCGATGAGCAATAAGCAGGCCCTTTCATCTGCCAGGCACAGAGTCCGGCAGCGCGCCTGGGACATGGTGCCGTTCGGTGATAACTTTCCTAGGAAGAGGGACAGTGTCACCGGAGCAAACCTCCGGCCACACTGGTAGGGATGTGATCCCTGTGGGCCTAAGGCGTGTGCCCTGCAGCCTGGAACTCAAGACTTAGCCCGCGTCTACCAAACACATGCACACAGACCCTGTTCTTTTACAGTCTTCAAAATCCCTCAGTTTTGAGATCTTAGGCCAGAGTCTACTAAAGGGGATTTTTCTAAGATAGTATATGATAACAACCAGCTATATAAGCTACCTGTAAGGACGATGAAATAAAGAAAATTTGCCTCCACACGAAAACAGGGGACTTGACTATAGTCAAGGGAATTTTTTCCTAACAAAAAATTATTAAATGCTAGGGCCCATTAATCTGTGAAACTTCCTTCCTACAGGCATTTAAAACTTGTTTTGTCTATAATCGGTTAGGTATGGTATTGCCTGAAGCCTTCTAGCAAAATAAAATTAAATTGTTTATCAAAGGAAATGTTAAAATAGGTCTGTAAAGCCTTACAAAGGTATTTTATGTTCTCAGGGATAATTATAATCTTTCTTAAGATGGGCTGTGACTAATAGCCTTTAGAAGCCTGGTCTGTTTTTATGAAGGAGGATTGGAAGACCAGTCGCATGTACATTCTGTGTAATGCTAGATCTACGGAGTTGCCTGATACCTATGACTACATGATGGTTGTTAAACCTAATGTCAGGGCAGTGTATTATAAAACCTAAACTTATACCTCCCTATCAAAAATTATGTGCACTATTGTAAATCGATGTCTAAAACTCTGTTCAAGAATTTATTTGTTCAATCGGCAGAGATTCTGTTTAATTTTGATTGTAACTTCTTGGAAACCCTTGAGTTTTCCGGAAAGTTGGAACAACTTTAAAACATAGTTTTGTTCACCAGGTATAACTCATTAATGGTCTCTGCATTAAGTTTAATTTTGTTTTGTTTTAGTTCTGAACAAGACAAAGAAGAATGGATCAAGGTAAACCTTATTTTTGTTTTTATTTTCTGTTTTTTGGTAACCTGTGTATGTGCACAAATGTGCAGATATTGTTGTATTGTGCACATGTAGTCATCAAATCAAGGCCATATAATTTTTAAGGGGATTCCCATCATAGATATTTGTTTAATAAAGTATCTTCATTAATTTGCATGTGATACTGTAATGTGTGCTTTGAATTTTACTTATGTTTTAGGCCCTTCAAGAGACTATCGATGCTTTCCATCAGAGGCACGAGACCTTCCGAAATGCAATTGCAAAGGATAATGACAGTCAGTCCGAGGTTTCTGTAAGTGGAATTGATTCTTAACTTTAAGCTCTCTGCTGTTTGCAGATACAAAAGATCTATCTGTTCATTTTGTTCAGCAGCCTTTTTCCTTCGCAATGCCAAAACTGGCAATTATATTTAGACAGAATCTCATTCCTTCTTTGGTGAATATAATAGTGAGTGTCTTTTTTATACTGCTTAAACTTCTTTGAACCTTTTACTTTACCAGGACATGGTATGAGCAACGTTGTTAAGTGCTTTTTAAGAAGGAAGGAAGACAGGGAGGGAAGGAGGGGGTGATAGAAAAGGAGGGAGGAAGGAAGAAAGAGAAGATGGAAGGAAGTGACAGTTTTTTCCTATTCAAATGGAGTCTCTCTTTCCTTCCCAGACTGCTGAGCTAGGGAAAAGGGCCCCAAGATGGATCCGTGATAATGAAGTAACCATGTGTATGAAATGCAAAGAGTCGTTCAATGCACTGACAAGGAGAAGGCACCATTGTCGAGCATGTGGACATGTAAGTGAGATTTCTTGGTCATTTAGATTGCCAGTGACTCAATAGGTATTGTAAAATCATCAAGTCAGAGAAGACCCAAAAACTCATTCAGTGAAGCACTTCGTTGGTAGACTCATTTCAGTGACAAGCATGTACAAAGCACTGTGCTGGGTCCTGGAGGGAAGAAAACTGGTAAGCAAAATGACACCCCGCCTCACATAGCCTCCATGCGGACGGAGAAGATAGACCAAAGTCCGGTCCATGGACAAGTAGGCATTTCAAATTACTATAAATGCAACAAGGAGACAAGCAAGCAGTTTAAAATGGAGAATAATGGTAATGAAGGAGGATTTGGAACCACTTTCAGTTAGAAAAATGAAGACCTATCTGAGGAGCAATATTTAAGCTGATGCCCAAAAGGTGAGAAAGCGCTAACCACAAGAAGGGAGGTGGGAAGTGTGTTCAGGCAGTATGAGTCTGTGTGACCCTGAGGGAGACAAGAGCTTGGTCTTTTCTTGAGACCGCGGAAAGGTCCTGTGCCGGAGCGTGATGGGTAAGGTGAGGTGCAGCAGAAGTAATTAGAGAAACAATAACCAAAGGGGTTGATGGCTTTGGGAAAAGAGAACTTGTTAGCATATGCGGAAGTTCAGGCTTTTGATGGGGGGGGGGAGTTTTCCTCCATCGTAAACAGAAAGGAAGAAGGAGAGGGTGGCTGCCCTTGCGGGCGTGTGTGTGATTTGGTGGTGGGAAAGGAAGGGCTGTGGGGCTGGTGACAGGTATGTTTCTGCAGAGGTATGAGAAAATGTCATCAGCTGGAAGTGAAGGGGAAGGAAGAAAGGCAGGCCGGGGACATTTGAGAAAGAGCACTAAGCATCAAATAGTCGTCTCTGGACAGGGAAAAACAAGCCTGCCAGGGAAGCAAGTGTAGACGCCTGGGGCCCATTAGAGGTTTATGATTACACTAATGTAACCATAAATGTAAATGTAAAATAAATGTAAAAGGATACACTAATCCATTTAATGGCAGTGATATTTAGTGATATTTCTTTAACAAAATTCAGCAACTCAAGCCAGACAAGGCACATAACAGGTTTTCAGCAATTGCGTTGTTTCATATGGAAAGAGTGATGAGGAACAAAGCATGGGGTGACGCAGGAGAGAGCAGCCGTCTGGGGGGACCTTGTAAACCCAGGTGAGACTACATACTTCCTTCTCCGGAGCAACAAATAAACATAGCAAAGGGTAGCAGCATTGCAGTGTAATAACGTCATATATTGTGAGTGTGCTTCAGTGTGACAATTTGATAGTTCTTTTAGATTATTCTTACACTACAGATTCATTCTTCCTCTTTTTTCTAAGTTTTGATGCAGCAAGACAGTTTTTAGGTCAAAATTAAGGTGATAGCAAACATCTTTTTCCCCCACCTTGGGGTAAAATTTTTTAAAATCTGTCATTGAGTTTATTTGAAATGATTTTAGGTACTGACATACTTGGTTCAGTAAACAAACAAAAATGTGTTTGAATGTTGATCATCAAAATACTATGATACGATTTGAAAATAAGATATTAATTAATGGGAATTTAAAGATACAGACATGCCTCATTCTAAATCCTAGTAATTTTATTGTAATTATGAGAAAACAGTGAATAATTTTCTGTCATGAACTTTACATGCTGTGAACCTAAATCAAGAGTTCTACTAATATTTCCATGTCTTAAGTAAAGTTCATTCACTATGAATTGGAGAAAAAAATATGGTCCTAGAAGCAAGAGGATAATTTTTCCAAGTGAAAGTTTCTTTTTTTATGACAACTACCCCATAGTAATTAGGAAAAAGATATCATTTACCAAGAAAGAGTATGCATTTTCACTACAGTCATTCATTCCTTGGCATTCTATAAATACTTACTGTGTGCTGGTAAGAAAGATACACCAGGACAATCTCATAGAGCTTACAGCCCAGTGAAGGCAACAAACATCAAATAATCCCAAAAGTATATGATTATAACTTATAATCAGCACATGAATAAGAGCACAAGTAACTTTAGTAGCACAGTGACAAGAGACATGCTCTGTTCTGGAAGTCAGAGGAGTCTTCCTGAAAGAAGTGAAATTTTGAGTCAACATCTGAAGGATGAACAAAAGTTGACTCCTAAAGCAGAGACGAGGAGGAAGGGAGCATAGCACTTTGGGGTCTATTGAAGCCAGTGCCACCAAAGATACAGAGAGTAGGATGGGCAGATCACGCAGGACTTGTAGGCCATGGTTAAGAATGTGTTCATTATCCAACAGCAAAGGGAAGAGGGAAGGGTTTTAAATAGAAGAGAAACATATCAGATTATGATTTTTAAGTGATTATCTGGTGTTGTTTGAAAAATAGCTTGGGGGGATGTAAGAGTAGAGGCCTGGAGGCCAGTCACATTGTTACAAGGAGAAGTCACAAGTTTATAATCATCCCAACTAGGACACTGATAACTTGAACTTGGGTGCTTACGAAGATGTAGAAAAATGGACAAATTGAGAAACTGTCTTGGAGGTAAAAGCCCGTTGGACTTTGTTACATAATGACTCTATGGGGTGAGCTATGGAGAGGGCTCAGGAGAGGTCCCAGGTTTATGACCTGCCATGACTAGTTAGATGGCGATGCCACCCCCTGCTACAGGGGAGCACAAGGAGAGGAGACAGGTTGGAAAAGGTGGGGTGGGGGGAGGAGAGCGTTGAGGGCAGGGAAGGTCATGAGTTCATTTTGGAAGGATATTGATGAAACCTCTAGAGGAGGGAAGAGGAAGGTTCGGATCAAGCCTTTGAAGATCTGCCTTTAGAGGTCAGGAAGAAAAGGGTGAACAAGCATAGCCCATCACAAACAGCATTATATGTAATACTATGGCAAACGGTCCTGATGTTCACGGGAATATTCTTAGTGTAACAAAAATTTGCCTTTTATATATAACTCTTTCTCACTTATTATCATTACCAATGTTTATGGCTTAAATCTCATTATTTTTTCAATATGATTACTCACTCTTCATTGCCTTTTCTCATTTGAGGTGGTTTGTTGGAAGTGTTCTGATTACAAAGCTCAACTGGAGTATGATGGTGGTAAATTGAGCAAAGTTTGTAAAGACTGTTACCAAATAATAAGTGGATTCACAGACAATGAAGAAAAGAAAAGAAAGGGAATTTTAGAGGTATGAAACAGTAAATGTTGGCTGTCTTTTAAATTTTTATATGAGGAACATAGATGTCTTTTAACCCTGAAGAATAAAAATAACACGTTTTGTTGTTTCTCTTAGTATTTAACTATTTGGAGAATGATGAGCAAATCATACTTTTGTTCTATGTTGCTGAATTTTGGGATCATGCTCAGTTTTAAAGAAAGAAGAGGGGCAGTGTTCTGCATTTGAGAGTGCATATATTGATTTTTGTGAAAATGGCTATAGCTAAATATTAGACTGTTAATTGTTATCTTTTCTAATGCCCAAATTATTATAATGTATTTTTTAATAGGAAAGTTTTTCTCAGTTTCATCATACCAGCTTTGAAAAACCACTGCATGAAATTATTAAAATTTAGATTAAAGCATTACTTTATTACCTGCAGACTCTTTCAATTCATGGCATTAAAAGTATCATTTAATAGGAGTGACAGTAATCTTATAACTGCATTGAAATATTATTGAAATGTCTCACAAGTGAATTTGACTCATGTTTTAGAATACATTCAGACCCTCAAGCTTGGTAGCTATATAATGCAACTTGTATCTGAAATGAGTTTCACACCCAAAGACATAATAAGACCTTTGTGGCAAAAAGTTTAAGATAACCTGGAAGGTCTGTAAAGAATAGGCTCACGATTAAAAGTCATAGACATACTTGATCTGTTAAGCATTTCTGTGGTTTATTGAGAATCAATGAATATTTATTGAGCATTTACACTGTATAAATAAGTGTACAAAAGTCTTTTCGGGTTGCAGGAAAAAGATCATGAACTTCAAGGTTCATTTATGATTAAAGTCTGCAAACGGAAAGTGTAACTCTGAATTCTAGGTATAGCTGTCGCTCGCTCGGATGGCAGACCGAAATGGGGCTTTCTCACGTGGGGTGGGAGGAAGTGCTGCACTGGCTCCCGAGGGTACAGGCTCAGTACTCAGCACCGGCAACTGATGCAACTAAGTTAATATGATAACTTGTAAGGGGTGAGTTTCGGGCTGTATCTATGAACTGAAAATCTCTAGGTAGTTTACTAGAAAAACCAGTACTTGGGGTGGGAGGAATCGTTTGCTTAATTAGGGTGACACAGATGTACACGCACATGCAATATTTGACACTTGCTTTGTGCCAACTAGTATTATATGCGCTAGACCAAGGGTTAACAAACTTTTTCTGAAAAGGGCAAGAGAAAAACTATTTTAGTTTCTGCAGGCCAAGAGGTAACACTGAGAATTACTTCTTTAAGAAGAGAGAAAACTAATTTTCAGAAATTTTTATTGACAAAATTTTAAATATAATAATTTAATATAATTTATTTAGTATGGTAATAAGGAGAATGGAATTCTTTAGTGGCATTTCTCTTAATTGAAGTCCAAAGTTAGTGTTCCCTGTTATGAAGTTGACTTCAATGTTTATCTGTAAAAACTTTTCTTAGCTCAAAGGCAGTACAAAATGTGGTGGGTTGGTAGGCCATAGTTTGCCAGCTAGTGCTTCATAAACTACCAGTGATGAAGGGCTGGTTTTATTTCCAAACCATCACAGCTCAGTATTTTTGGAAAATACACAATCATGTGCTTGAGTATCATCACAAAGTCAAACTGCTATGAAAGTTGCTCAGTGTTTACTCTCACTTTCTGTGCTTATTGTGAACCAGTAACAAGAGTTTGCAGACCAGCACTGTTGAATGGACGACACTGAGGATTTGATGTTTTCCCTAATGTGTGCAAGAAAACCTTCATCTGGTCAAGTGGTTTTGTTTGCTTTTTAGCCAGTGATTTATGTATATGGAGACAAAGCAGAAAATTGTAAATGTTTCTGCAAACAGTTCATGCAGTTTTTAAAACCTGAGTTATCTCAGGTTCCAGAACAAAGATTGCTAGTCGGTATTTGCCTTTTTGTTAGCGCATTCTTACATAGTTCAAGTTGGTATGCATTGCAGTTAAAAGTTCAGGCTTTGGATTTGACTCAAATACCAGCGTGCCAATTCCTAAATGTATGATATTGGGAAAGCTTTTTTATCTCTGAACCTCAGATAATGAAAGTCCTGACTTCTTGGTCTTGGTCTGAGGATTAAATGAAATAATACATTTCTTAGTGAGCTAAGAAAAGTGCCTGCAGAGTAAGCATTTAATAAATGTTTAACTTTATTTAAATTCAAGGTCTGGTAATACGGAGTGTTAAGGTTGACTTAAATATTTCCCCATGCTGATAATAGTTCTGGATGAGTGTTTCAATAGTAATTGCAGGTGAGCCTTTTGGATGATCCCAGGAGACATTTTATATAAACGCGCCGCATTTCATGACTATTGCCGTAGGTTGAATTGCTTCTCTATGTGGTCTCTTTAGTGCTCATTCTCATTGGCGCCCTCTCACTCTCTTTCCATTATACTTTCCTAGATTGAATCAGCAGAAGTATCTGGAAACAGCGTGGTGTGCAGCTTTCTTCAGTATATGGAGAAGTCTAAACCTTGGCAGAAAGCTTGGTGTGTGATCCCCAAACAAGACCCACTTGTGCTGTACATGTACGGGGCCCCCCAGGTACGTAAGCTGTGTCTGTCTGAAGGGACAGAGGTCGCAGGGACACAGGAAGGGGGATAGATACTGAACTCAAAGTTCTCCTGTCACTCCTTGATAGAAAAAGAGAGCTCAGTTTCACTGTTTCATCATAATCGGGACAATAGTAAGTAACGAAAATTAAAGTTTACCTAAATTGGTGGATTCCTTTTACAGCCAATAATTCCTTCACCCTGTGGATCAGTTCTCCCCTTCTCTCATTCCTATTCAGTGGTTTTCAGAAAAATGTGAGTTCAATTAGGAAGTGGCATTGGGAGAAGGGGGTGAAGCAGAGGGAGAAGCAGGAAGAAGAAGGAGCTTTTTTAATGACAGGAAATAATAGTAAGCCTTTTCTGCCCCCTTTGAATGCAGGGATACATGAAGGAAAGAAATTGAGAGGAAGGGGAATTTAAACAAACTGTATATTAACATTATCTAGTAACAGTTGTTTGAGAACCATGTGTGCAGGGATCTGAGGTAAATCTGTGGGAAAGACAGACATGCAGATTTAGCTTCTAACCAGAACAGCACCAGGCACTATGGATTGTATAATGCTTAAAAAACAAATAGCAATTAAACCAATTATCCACTCACTTGGAAATACATAAAATTTTAAATGTACCTGTTGTACTTTAGCCTATATCTACTTTAGGGGCTAGTAAAACATTTTTTAGAAATAGGCTTAAGCTCTGGCCAGTGTGGCTCAGTTCACTGGAGCATTGTCCCAGAACTGACAGGTTGCGGGTTCAGTTCCTGGTCAGGGCACATGCCTGGGTTGCAGGTTCCATCCTGTACCCAACGAATATGGGAGGCAACCAGTCGATGCTTCTCTTTTGCATCGATGTTTCTCTCGCTCTCCCTTCCTCTCTCCTTCCCACTTTCTCTAAAAGCAATGAAATAATGTCCTCAGGTGAGTATAAAAATAATTAAGAAAAAAAAGAAATCAACTTAAGGTGCCAAGGTATATATTTTATTCTATTTTGTGTTTTTTCCTATAACTTTTTCCTGTCTATAAATAAATGGATGCATGAATGAATGAGACACCAACTAAAACTGTGTTTGGTAATGAAAGAATCGTTAACATTTGCTGGCTTTATATAGTAATATGACTATTCTTTTCTTCCCTTTGTCACTGAATGAAGAAGAGCTGAGTAGGCTCCCTCACAGAGAAAAAATATTGGGTCAGTGAATCTTAGCTGATTTAGGTGTCAGCTCTCATTCATTCATTCATTCAGTCAGTCAGTCCACATCATCAGTGTGGCCTCATGCACAGGCGCTGCGCTGTCGCTAGATCACCATCTTTGTCCATGGAGAGTCACAGTGCAAGTCTGTGTGGAACGATGATAGGAAAAGAGGTTTAGTAGGAGCCAGATCACAAAGGGACATGTATAGCACACGAATACATCCCACTCTTGTGTTCTGTGTTTTCTCCGTAGGATGTCAGAGCCCAGGCCACCATTCCACTCCTGGGCTACATTGTGGACGATATGCCGAGGAGCGCTGACCTGCCGCACAGTTTCAAACTGACCCAGTCCAAGTCGGTGCACAGCTTTGCTGCGGACAGTGAGGAACTGAAACAGAAGTGGTTGAAAATCATCTTTCTAGCTGTCACAGGTGAGACACCAGATGGTCCTAACGAGCATTCAGCTACCTTGGACGATCACCCTGAACCTAAATAAAAATCAGAATGCTGACTCCAATACCAGCCCGCGTACAGGTCTCAAGATTCACAGCTCAAGACATTCCCAGCTCTCCTTATCCATCTCTTAGCACTTTATGTTGAAAAATAGAGGCTCATAAAAGTATCTGTTAGGGGACTATTTTCCTATGTTTGTGTACTCTTGGTGAAATTAATGTGCAGAGCCATTCTACCCATAGAAGTTGGAAATAATGTGAAAAATGGAGCCTTTTTTAAATGAGCAATGTACTTTTGTCTTCGAGAAAATGGTATCAATTGATAATATCACTATCAAGTTAGAATAGGCCACTCTCATTTAAGAAATGTTTTAATGTCTTCTCTTTCACATGTAGGACTTGTGACAGTTTGAAAGATATACCTCCATGTTGCCAAAATAGATCCATAGTTAAAAATTACAAGGACAGTTTAGGCTATTGTATTAACTTATTTAATTTAGTTTATAAAATGCAAGCTGCATAAGTAACATGTCCTTTTAAAAATAAAAGAAAGGACAGATTGTTAATGTTCAAACTTTTGACTTATTAAGAAAAGGTAATACTTGTTTTTGTAGAAATTCTCCTAAGAATAAAATATCTTAAGTATATAGTAATTATGTATATATAGTATTAAATATAAATATATATACTATACATGCTTTTCTCTTCAGATTTAGGTGCATATTTGTCTCTAATTTATTTTTAAAATATAAAGCATGTTTTATCTTGGAATTGGACAGTGTTCTAAACTTAAATGTTTTTGGTGATTTATGTTTAACTGATTAACATCTAAGGCTATTGGTATTTTTATAATAAGAAAAAACAGTAATTTATGTGGCATGGGATATATTAGTGAATTCCAACCATATTTTTAAAGTTTTTTTTTTTTTTTTGTTCTGTGCCTATTTAAAACAGTGCCTCTCTTTGAAGGTGCTAGTAATTTCTATTTAAATATAAGGTGAGGGTTTAATTAATGCTTCAGTCTTGCATATTCTAGATGAAGTGTATTTTGGTCACTGGGATGGTCAAAGGCATACAGGTGATTATGCTTTTAACATGCTCTAATTGTTACAATGGTTAATAGCATGTACAAAAATTTTCTCAAAAACCCAAATTGTCCAAGATACCTGAACTTACACAGAACTGGGACATCCGGAAACTACATTTGCTATCCTGTTTTCCTTTTCCACAAGACTGTCAAGCATGGTTAAATGAGGACTGTAGATAACTAATACTTAAGATAACTCTGTGGGCCTGTTCCTTTGTCAGATATGAAACAAAATTCACATGTGATAATGTATGTGTGCAGGAGCTGGATAGATATTAAAGGAAGTTTGTGCTCAACTCTTTAAGCCCCACTAAAGAGCAGGGGAAACACAACACTGGAAAGCCATGCTTCAGTGGCAGAGTTCAGGGAGGTACAAGGTAACTGAAGAGCACCTGAGCATTCTTTTCTCATTTATCCTCCTGGGGAATCTTAATAGACAAAATGTAATTCCTTGTGACGAAGGCTGCTCTTCATTATATTGTAGTTACGATTAAAATCTCACATTAAGTTGGCTATTTAACTTAATCATTTTCTCCAATTAGATCTGGGTTGGGTGTTGGTTTTTTTTTTTTTTTTTTAATTTATCCTATTATGCCCCAAACACTATTACTTTGAATGCATCAGTCTAGAAATCCACAAGAGTGACCTCACTATCCTCTGCCTTTGGGGATGACACTTCAGTGTAGAATAGCTTCACTCAGAATTTGAGATTTGCACTCATTTATTTAGGTCCTCTTAAGAAAATCTGAAAGAGCTCCTATTTTTCCCCACCCCAAAGGAGCAGATGAACTAGTTATGGCTGACGTGGTTAGGTTTCCTTCCTCCACAAAAGGAATACCAGCCATGATCATTTCCATTAAACCAAATACTTGAAGCCAAAAAGAGATCAAGGTAACTTCTTCCTATTAAATCAGGGAAAGACTTAGAAATATTTTACACTGCTTCTCTTTTCTAGTTGCCAACTGTGTGTGTGTGTGTGTGTGTGTGTGTGTGTGTGTGTGTGTGTGTGTGTACACACAACATTGTGTTCATGGGTGGTTACTGAGAAGGTTAAACTGTAGCTATAGATGATACTTTGTTTTTCTTCCTCTCAAGAAGAGAGAAGCACTAAAAATGGAGAATGATTTTCAGGGGGAGATGACTTTTGTAAATGTGGCTGGAACAATGGAAATGTAAGGGCCAATTAGAAGATTATGGGCCAGATTATTTTTGAAAACTGCTTTGAACAGCAAGAAGACTGTGCTTTTCCTGTCCGTCAGTTCCTCTCCTGGAGTGGAAGTAACACGGACCAGTTCGGGCTCAGTAATATCTGTGTTATTTAGTTTAGATTATTGAAAGAATACTCGTGAAGAGTGAAGAGAATATTTATTATTATGCCCTTAATATTATCTTAAATTTGAACAAAAAATGGGAATATTGTCATAAGAAGGGAGTTTCCGATGCCCCAGTTACCACCTTCACATCCTGCCCCGCGTTCTTTAGCCAAGCACAAAGAGAAGCAATGAAGCAGCCTGACCTGTTTTTTGTTTGTTTTTTTTTTAAAGCATCGCTAATGCTTTTACTTGAAGAAAGTCAAAGGCATATTCTCAGTCAGCCAGCCATTTAGTAAGTACTCCACTAGACCAAAAACCTCAAAGCATGACTGATTACAAGAATAATCTCTGTCTCTTGCTTTCTGAGATACTGGAGCAGTCATGACAGGTTGAACCTAAAAAAGTAATTGGTTGCTTTCCTATTAAAACTAACATTCCATATGGGTCCTGTTATTTATTTTCTCCAATTTGCTGCTTTTCAAGTCATCTTTTCTTTAAAGTGCCCTTCCTCCAAATTAAAAAAAAAAAAATACTTTGCTAAAAACTTGTTCATGATAAAACATTCCAATTTTTTTTAAACGTAAATTTTGCTTTATTGAAAGTCTACCATTTGGGATATGAAGTAGGAAATGTAGTGCAGACTGATGTCCCGGTTTTAATAATGAAAACACCACCAGCCACTTTTGTAATAATGGCATCTACAATGCTATCACGTATGCAAGCAATAAAACTCTTCAGGGTGTGTTTTTATACTGAAATTTTAATGTGAATGCCCCCAGCCACAGGGCATAGAGAATTAACTCCTAGAAGTGACAATGTGACTCACTGCTCAGTGGAGGGAAGAGAAAGTGTGTGTGAGGAGGAGTGGGCATAATTCCTTGGATTCAAATAAACACCACAGTCATTTCACTTTTGCAGAGGGTATGGATGGTGAAAAGCATTAAAGCACATCTGCACTACTTGATCAGTAACATTTCATTTTACATGAAGTTTAATAACATACAGGTTGGTGTACTTATCTTCACTGGGTAACTACCCCCGTTTTTTAAATACTCCAATTTTTAAAAATTACCAAACTTTTTAAAGAACTAGCCTTTTAGATGTTTCAACCCCACTTATAGATATACATTGGATTTTTTTTTTTTAAAGAATACTTGCTGTAGTCCTAAGTATATTAAAAAAAAAAAACAAACTACAAACTTCATAGTACTGCAGGGTTGTTAAGGATTCAGTGATGCCTTCTACAAATCTTAGATCAAAAATCCTTCTGTGAGTTCACAATTCTAAAGACTTACTTTTTCTTTTCTACTTTGTGGAACAGGGTGTTTTATTCCTTTTAAATTTTAGATCTCATTTCTCGTTCTATTCAAAGCCTTAAGTTCTTACTCTGAGCATATTGTCTGTGATAACTCTGATAATGATCTTTCTGGGCTGGATCCATTCTGAGGAAAAGGCACCAACCAATAGGAGCAAACAAAGTTCTAGGGAACAAAGGTCTTATTTTTTGCAGTTATTCTTGCTATAATGCAGAATAGAAGATTATAATGAAAATTCCTCTATCATGTGATGTTCGTGTTAGCGGGTCTAAGGTTAAGCACATGGTATTTATAAGCTAAAATTAATTCAAAAGGCAAGAATGTCTTAGTGTTTTCATTCTTAAATTTTGTATTCTTCAAGAATGTATCACTATAAAAACTGTGGCTAACCAGATCTTATTCTTAGGACTGTTTTGACATATGTAGGTAGACCATGTCATTTCTTCATTCTCATCCAGTTTTAATGGTATCAAACTGCTTTTTATTTTCATATAACTATCTACTATAGATTCTCCAGATTCGGAAAATATGCATATGCTATATAAAGACCATTAGATCTACTTTTAAAATCCTCTCTGTGAATTTGAGTATATGTATGTATGTAAAAATACTGTTGATTTCCAATTCTGTTTTTTCATAGAAATGAAATTTTTATACAAACTTTTTTTAGTTTAAATATTTTAACATAAATTATTCACATGGATTTGTGGTATAATTCATTCTTATTTATGCCCGTAATCATGTCATGAGACAATAACTTTGCTTTCTTTACTGGTAGAGTAGAGAGGAGTTTAATTAAGAACCAAAACAAGCAGGAACGAACAGAGAGGTGGACAGAAAGAGGCTGCTGGTCTCCAGAGCAGAGCAATGTGTGTTAAGAGAAAAATACTTAAACCGAGAAGAGATATCTAAACTGTAAGATATAAATCTATATCATTGCGTACTGATGGGGCTTGTGCACTCAGGCCTTTCACTTCGGCCTCTAAATTGTATCATTAGTATCTTGTCATGACTTCCTTTTTCATTTATGCTTACAAAAAAAATTTCATTCTATTGGGTCATTTTCAGCACTGTTTACTGATGTACAAAAAAAAAAAAAAAATTCCTGTAAAGTTCATTATAGTTTTTTATTTTCCACACTGAATATTTGGCAGAGTGTAGTGTCTTTTTCGTGTTTTGAGATGAAATAGCACATGACTTCTACAAGATCGTTGTTAACTTGTTGGGGTCCCTGAGTTATATGATGGTCATGCCTTTCTGAAATTTATTATAGATTGAATTAGTGAGATTAGGTAGAATTAGTGATAAATTAAATCAAGAAATCTCATTGTAGCATATTTTAATAAGTGAATACCAAATACATAGAGTGATATATATGTAGGTTTGGGGAGAAACATAATATTCTGTAGGGACCATTATGATAATGGAATTGCATTATATATTACACATTATATGGATGTTGGAATGTATCACTTGGGGGGGGTCTCCCTTCATTAGCAATCATGTCTGTATATAAAACTGTTTTTTGTTTTTGTTTTACAAAACTAGCATTTCATTTTGTGAGTGACAGTTGACTGATATTTTTGAATAAGTGTTATCCAGGTTTTGAATTGTTGACTGATCAGTTTGAAAAGGTATGTTATCAGAATTGTAGAGTTAACTCAAATGTGAAAAAGTGGACACAACAGTAATTTTTCTTTTCTAGCTGTATGAATGTAAAATACTTGCAGATAGTGTATATATTGTGTAACATATGTATATTTGGTCATAAAATCAAAGAATCAAAAATGTTGTAAAATTAAGCACTTTAATTCCTATTAAATATTAAACATTTGTATCTTGTAAATAAATACATCCCTAAGTGAACTCCAAAGACTTAGATGTTATTTCACTCAGGATTATGTATGTTCAGTTCCCAGATTTTGGTGGGCGCATCCCCCTTCCCCAACTGTCGCATATGACGCCAGCGAATCAGATAAAGCAGAAGTCAGCTCACGCGGCTTCTCCACCCCAGTCCCTCTCGGGGCTCCCCACTTCACACAGAATAAAAGCCAAAGTCCTTTAGGTGGCTTCACAGTGTATTTCCTCCACCACCACCCTGACTGTATGGGTCTTCTCGCTCTTTCTTAACCAAGCCAGCTGGCTGCACTCCAGCCTTGCCACACACACTATTGTCTGTTCCCGCTTCATGCAATGCTCCTTCCCCAGATGTCTGCATGATTAACAACTTTGCCACTTGAAGTCTTTGCTCAGCAGCACCATCTCACTTGACCATGCATGGTACCTCGGATTCCAACAGCCTCCGCTAATAACATAACACTCTCGCTCATCCTTAATCTGGTTTATTTTTTTCTCAGAGCACTTAAAATCTTGTAACAAACTAAATAATTAGCTATTTCTATGAGTGTGCGTGTTTTTTTTATTGTTTGTCTACACCTACTGGAACATAAGCTCCATAAAGGTAAGGATTTTTATCTGTTTTGACCACTGATGTCCCCAGTTCTCAGCACAGTGCCTGGCACATTGCAGGCACTCAGTAAATACTTACTATAAAAGCTAGGTTATATGAAGGGAAAAAAATGAACAGAACCTCTCTTTCAAAGTACCAAATTGTCATTATAAAAGTACAGACTTTTGGAATAGGGCTGAGAGGAAAAGAAAGCAACATCGTATATAGCTAAATTATTTAATAACAAAGCCAGATTCCTAATTAAGGGTTTAAAACCATAGTCAAGGATTTCAAAATCTTAATCTTTGCATGATGGATTCTCGCTGTTAAATAATCAACCTCAACCTGCTGTCACCACTGTCACCGGAGCACCTGGTCCATGAGGAAATCAGAGGCACGAGCCGCTGCTACGGACAGAGACAGAGGTGCGGAGAGACATGTCCTGAGGATGTGGGCTGGCTGCTTGGACCTGGCCCAGGGCCTGGATAATGAGCATTTATTTTGCAGTTTACTCTCCTATGGAGGAAGTGATTCATGTATTGTTTTGGTCCTGCACTTAAGTAAAAACAAAGCCAGGTGGTTTTGTCTCCAAAAGGAGACGCCGTGTTTTTACACAGTGAAGATGGCGCCTCATAGACCATTATGTGGTATTTGCACAAGAAACAGCATGTTTATGTGATCATTTAAATATATCATTATTATCCACTGAACAAAGCTCTGAGTCACTGATTATGGGAGCTGATTGTCTAGGTGAAGTCCAGGTCTGCGGGTGAAATCCTGCAGTGCTACTTCTTGGGGCTTTGGCTTGACTTCAGGACTTGAGTTCACCTTCTACGAGAGTGTGGCTGGGGCTCGGACAGGGATGTAAAATAATTGTAAAATCCTGATTAGTGACTTACAAAATTTTAATTCTGCCAAAAGTCACGTTAAAATGTATGAGGGATTTTTTGTGTTTTGTTGTGTGTGTGTGTGTGTGTTTTTTTAATCCAGAGATACAAAGAACTCCAAAATCAGGGAGCTTTTGTCAAATTGAGGGTGAGGAGAACTGAGTTATAATCCTGTTTCTTCTAGTAACTGGAGCTGTGAACCTGGGTACATCACTTTACCTTTCTGAGCCCTGGTTTCCTTACTTGTAAAATGTTACATTGCTAGAGTAAAATTTAAAATGATGGGAACTGCTAATGTCCCTTCAAGCTCCAGGATTGTAAGAGTCTTATTTATGTTTTTGTTATTCATTGCTCCCCTGATTCTTCTTGCTTTTTTTGAAAACCTGTATTTGGAATTATATGCAAGTATCATTTAATTATATGTATACATATGCATGGTCACTTCTATTTTTCTGGATGTTCTTCAAGTGCTTCCTTAAATACAGTGCTGTATGGAGAGTCTTCTTTCCATTGCTCTTCATCTAGAAGGTTTTGATCTCCCAGCCAAAGCACGTGGACAACAGTGGATCCTGGCAGTACAAATAAGGTAGCTAGTGGGCTCAGCACTATGGCAGATAAGCATATAAAAACATCCCCTCTTTAAGAGTCTAGTTTTTATTCAGGCACAGTGGCTGGGCTGGTTGTCAGATAAGGCATTCTAGGCGCTGCACTTAGGCACTGAGAAGGCATTTGTAGAGGCCGTCTCTGTCCTGGCTGAATTCCAAGGCTTGGAGTCTGATTCCTAACCCCCAACACGCTTATTGGTACCATCTACCTGCGAAAAGGCCAGATCTGGCCCTATACCTTCACTTCTACATGGTTAACAAAATTAACAAAATTAAAAGACAAAATGCATAAAGCTCTTGCGAATGAAAATTTTACTATATCAATACAGTGGAAAAAACAGGCCAGCAATATGAATAGGTAATTCAGAGAAAAAGAAATATAAAGGACCAATATATTCAAAAATTGACTAATGATTTTTTTAACCTATTAAATAGAAAAACTAAAAATATTGATACTATCCTAGGGTGGATATGGGGAAATGGATCCTCCCATATACTTTTACTAGAACCATAAACTGTCACACCTGTATTTATTTAAATTTTAAAGATGCGTACTCTTTGACTTAGCAATTTCACTTCTAATTACTGAATTACTAAGAGAAGTATAAATACATATATGCATAAGGATATTTCTGCAACATTGCCTGTAATAAATGCAAAGTAAGGTATCACCTACTAAGAGAAAAACTATTAAAGTATAATCTTTATAAAAGAGTACTATGCAGCTGTTTAGAATAATAATTTGGGATTTTAATGTATTAATATAGAAGATACATAGCAGTGAGTGAAAAAACTAAAATAAAAGGAGATTTTTCACTATAAATGAAAAAATAGAGCTTTATGTGTAGTTTGATCTATTTTATATTATATGTTTGTGTCAGAACAGTGAAAGGTATGAACAGAAGGAAGCTACTAACAGTTCTTCCAATCTGGAGAGTATGATCAGACGTGAGGAGCTTTTCATATTTTCTATTATTTACTTAATGATAATTGTTATGGACCAAATTGTGTCCCCCCTAAATTTATATGTTAAAGCCCCAATACCCACTGTAACTGTTTTTGGGTTAGGGCCTGTAAAGAGGTAATTCACATTCAATGGTCCTAAGGGTGGGGCCCTAATCTGGTTAAGACTAGTGTCCTTGTGGGAAGAGGAAAGGCCAGCAGAGGGCGCTCTCTCCACATGTGCACAGAGCAAAGGCAACGGGAGGACACAGAGTAGGCAGCTACAGGCAAGCTGGGACGAAAGATCTTAACAGAAACCAACCTTGCTGGCCACCTTAATCTTGGACTTCCAGCTTCTAGAGCTGTGAAAAAATACTGTCTGTTGCTTAAGCCACCCTGTCTGTTGCATCTTGTTATAACAGCATAAGCAGACTATTATAGATATGTAGAGATTTTTATATTCTTATTCTCAGATGGCTTTTGTTGGGAGAGACACCCCCCTCCTTTTTTCTTTTTCTTTTTAGCAGCTGCTTTCAAAAGGCCGCCTCGGGAACAAGCTGAACCCCCAGGACAGGAGCTTTCCCAATAGTGGGTCCATCAGGTTAGACGGCTGTCCTAATGAAGATACGTAGCACCAACTGCTGCAACAGTCCTCGAAACGTTAATGTCTACACCACAGAGATTTAGTTTTTGCTCATTTTGTATTCCAACATGTTTGGCAGAGGACTCTTTCCACATAGAAACTCAGGAGCCCAAGCTAAGGGTCGGCCATCTTGCTACCTCACTCAACATGTGACTTCAGAGTTTGCCAAAGCAGAGGAAGGGAGGTGGAGGGTTCAGCAAGGCTTTCCACTGACCCAGCTCATAAGAAATAGATGGCACCCCTGCTCACAGTTATTGTAGAACTAGTCACGTGGCTTCAATCAAACTGCAAA